AGCAGCTGCTGCACAGTCATGTGAGCCTTGGGAGAGGGGTGGAGAGAATTGGCATCTGAGTGAGACTTCCAGGAACAAGGTAACAGGAGGTGGCTGCCCCAGCCTTCTGCCTGCAGAGAGGCACAGGGTTGGGGCTCCCATGTTCTCCAGCGTTCCTGCACCCTGCTGGCACCTCCCAGCAGAAATAAACCGTTCAAAACCAAGTCAGTCTTGCATTTTTAGCATTCCTCACTGTGCAAGTGGAGTGAGGGGCTGCAGCAGCCATCCCATTGCTGAGATCTCAGTGGGAAGCCCAGAGCTATGTTCTGTTTGGGAGGTGTTAGCAAGTGGCAGGTTTGGGCACCCAAATCCTTGGCTGGACTGAACTTTTCCCCTTTGAAGGGCTCAGCCTTTTGCCCCAGAGGTGGGTGCTTCCAAAATGTTGCCTTTGCTTTGCTGTTCTCCTCTGGCATCCCCAACCTCCTCCAGCTTCTGGCTGCAGTGCTCAGGCAGCTGCTGGAACCACCTGGAGCTGAAGCTGTGCCCTTTATTACAAAAACTGCCTGGGAAACACCTGGATAGATGTGTAGGCAGTGCTCTGTGCTGCAGCAGGAAAATTGGGAATGACTCCCATGGCTGTGCATGCAGGCAGGGGTGGGCTGGGAGCCTGAACCCCCACAATCCAACAGGCAACTGTAGCCTCGTGCTGCAGGAAGCTGGCTGCTTCCATGGCACTAAATGCCTTCTGAAAATGTGTGTGTCAGCTTAATTGGCTTTGGAAAAGCGTGTTAAAAGTTAAACCTGAGTATTGCTGGGCTTAGGAAGTGAGGGAAAAGCAAAACTTCCTTGTGAGAAGCAGGGGGTGCAGTGCTGGGCTGTGGGGGGAAGGTGGCACAAAGCCTTTTCCCCACAGCCCTTGGCTGTGCTGTCTGGTACAGGCCCCTTCTAGAAAAGAAAATGGTTGGAGTGGGAAAAAAAAACTCTTTCTGGGCTGCTTTGAGCAGCCCAGTTGTGCTGTTGTTCTCCAGACAGTTTGTTCTGGGCTTCATCCTGTTCTGTCCTGCTGGGAACTCTCTGGGTGCATTTCTTCTCCTGTTTTTTTCTCCCCTGTATTTGAGCATCCAGGTGTTTTTGTGGGTTTAATTGGGGTTTTTTTCAGGTAAAATTCCCTGCCTCCACCTCACAGCTCCTGCCAATCCCCCACGTGCTGCTCTCCCCACCCCTGGCAGCGCAGGGTGTCGGTGGGATGCTCCTGGACAGCATCTGGGGACTGTTGTCCCCAGGAAGGTCTCCCAGGGGGGACTTCCATGCTCTTTGGAGCTCAGACAGCAATTTTCCCCCGTTGCCTTTGGGTCAAACATACCCTGTGGCTGCTCCACTCGGCTCGTCCGTGCCGTGGTCTCTCTGGCATTAATAACCAGCTGCTCTTCCCTTGCTGCTGGAGTTTTTCTTTTCTAAATTAATTTCTGTCTGGGGGCTGCAGGAGCTTTATCACTTGCTGCTGGGCTGGGTTTTAGCCAGGTTTAGATGCTGCCTGGCACCGAGTGATTCCTGTGGCAGCCAGGAGCAGGGTGTCCTGCTGGATTTGGGGAGGGAGGGAGGGATGTGTCACAGCAGCACCAGGGGGTGAGGAAATAGAGACAGGTCAGAAGAAGCAGTAGGGGCTTACCTTCTTGAAAGGAAGTCCTGGCTTTTTTTAATAGCTGAGATTCTTTGGGCTCAAGGGCTGGTTGGGGTGAGCCCTCCAGGCTCCCTGAGGTGTTGGCCCTTCCCCAGAGGGGTGGGAGGGGAGGCAGCAACTGGGGCACTGCTCAAACTGTGAAGGAAATATGATGGTGATCCAGCAAAAAAATGGTGGTCCAGTCCCACTTTTTAGTCTGAGAGTGTGTGGGCATGGAGAACTGAGCCTTGGCAGAGGGAAGTGCGGAGATGGAGCGAGGAGGGACGGAGAAGCGTCAGGCAGAGGTTGGTGACTGATCCATCAGGGTCACTGCTGCCCTGGTTATGGCCCCAGAGGAGCCTGGAGGATGTAGGGGAAGTGAGGACTGTGATTCCTATGTCCCCTGGCAAAACCAAGAGCTTATTTGGGTCCAGGAGAAGATAAATGGGTGCCTGGTCTGTGATGTGCAGGTTCACCGTGCCCAGCTCAGGGCTCCCAGCACTGCTCCTCTCCCCTGGCACCAAAAAATTTGCAGCCAAAGCTCATGGCTGCTCTTCCCCTCTAACCTGAGAGACTTCAAGTTGTGGTTTCTGAATCTCTGTTGATTTGTTTAATGAAAAGAAAGGAAGAAAAAAGCCCCAAAACTCAGTGCACAACCACCAGAACCAGAGTGTGGCCTGGTCTCTTGACTCCTCCATCCCCTTTTTTCCCTCCTGCCCCACAGTCCTTGGAACCACTTGTTTAAAGGTTTTAAAGGTCAAAAGGCATCAGGGAGGTCGCTGTGCCCAGGCTGATCCCATAACAGGTACTTCTTATGGCTAATTGCAGTGTCCCATTTACTTGCCTTAAAGGTGGAGAGAGAAACTTAGTATTTGCACTTAGCAAAATGTTGTATTAAAAGAAAAAAAAAACTGTAAAGATGTGCATGTTCTGCAACTTTGTATAACAATAGCTGAAAATAAATAGGTGGTTTATTTAAAAAAAAAAAAAAAAGGAAAAAAAAACCAAAAAATATTTTTCTTTACATTCTGGTAGTTAAACAGGTCTAATATTCTGTGTGTAAAAAGTTCCTGTATTATATTGTAATTTGAATTTTTGTAAATAAATTTGTGCACTCTGGCTTTTACCTCTGTGCTTTTGGAAACAGCCAAAACATCGTCCTCCCATCCTGCCTGTGCTAGCCTGGGTGCTGGGATAGTGCCAGGGCGTGGGGCCAGATCCCAGCCTGTGCCAGTGAAAACTCCGCAGGTCGCAAGGCAAAACCCATTTGACCCTCCTGGAACAGCTTAATATGTTCCACATTGCTCCCAGGGAAAAAAACTGGATGGGATTAGAAAATGGTTTCCAGTCGCTCCTGTAAATGGAAACCAGGATGGGGAGGAAGGTTGGGGGGGGGGGTCCCCTCTTGCAGGGGTGTTGGGAAATGTTGGGAAATGCAGAATCCGGCCTTAGGGGGGGAAAAAAGGAAATGTGTGTTGGCAGCTGGGGGAGAGGGGAAGGGTGAGGGTCCTTCCTGCAGCTCCAGAACCCCTTCCCTGTGCAGGCACCCACTGCCAGAGCTGGCAAAGCTGCCTCCTCCCCAGCCTGGGTGTCACAGTCGGTGCCACAGCCCTGCACACAGGGGTGTCACAGTGAGGGCAGCTGGGGCTGCTCAGGGTTTCCTGCACTGCTCTGATTTCTCCCTGTTTATGGTCAGGAATGAACATCCTTCCTTCCTTTGGCCCTTGCAGTGCTCAAACCCCCTTCTGATGGTGACGGTCTCTCCAGGCTGTCCCCTCCTGCTGTCCCCCCCCAGTGTGTGTCTGGGGGGAGCTGGGCAGCCGCCCCTTTCCCAAACTTTGCTTTTTCCAAACCAGCTTTAGGTTTTTAAAGCCGAGCAGGAGCCCATCAGTGCCCTGCAGGAGCCCAGCCAGGCTGTGGTGGTGGCAGGACACATGGGCTGCGCTTCCCACCTCCTTCCCTCCTTAGTTCTTCCCCTTCTCCGTGTCACCGAGCAGAGGGGGCTGATTGCTGACCCCCACTAAACCATGCACCCAAACCCAGCATGCCGTTGCTCTTCCCTCCTGGCTGGGCCACTGTATGGAAGTGAAACACCCGAGTCAGGAGGAGAAAGAGCTCCCTGGGGGCATGGCTTTGCTCCTGGCAGCAAGGGCAGGAGAGCTGGTTTTGCAGGTGAGATGGTTTGCTGGTGCTTCCCCTCCGACCCATTTCATGTGTCACCCAACCCCAGCCACGCCCTGTGGGCTCAGTGGCTTCAGCCTGTTGGTCACCATTCCCTTCCCACCAGCTCCTCAGCCCCCAGAACCCAATCTTTGTCAGGCAATTTGGTCCCCAAAGGCCCCACCACCCCAAATCTCTCTGGGCTAATGCCTCTCATTTAAAGGCCACTGCAGCCCTGACAGACCACACACCAGTTTGAATCCGAATGCGGGTTTTATTTTTTAATTCATCTTTCTCCATTTGAAGCTATTTTTTTTTATTTTTAAGTTATACAAATGGCACTTACAAAAAAATAATAATAATTAAAAAAAAAAAAAATGGACAAACCCAAAACTTAAATTTTCAGAGTGAGATGTTTTCAGAGAGTCACGACACCCGATAAGAGGAAACAGGAGAGATGATGACCTAGTGTCACACGGGAGAAGCCGGAGCGGGAATTACATGGTTCGAACTGCAACAGGGACGGGGAGGAGGCAACACGGGGTGGGGGTGAAGGCCAGAGGGAGTGAGTGTCAAGTCACAGGGTCACACAGGGCTTCATCAAGACACTTGGTCCTTCAAGGGGCAGCGTGGTGCCCAGTGGGGGGGCACGTGGTGCCAGGAGGGCACGGGCAGCCCCTGGATGTGAGTGCAGAGCCGAGGTAGAGTCCCAGCCGGGATCCCCTGCGCCGGCGAGGGATCCCAGCCCGGAGTTGTCCCCCTGGCAGGGGACAGTCGCTCGCTCTCCCAGCTGAGTTTAGCACCAAGCTCCTACGGAGGGAGTCCCTCCTCATGGCTTTAAGGCTGACGAGCCCCTGCCTGGCCTCTGGCAGAGGGACTGGCCCTGGTTTGGCACGGCCGCGATGCCGCGAGCACCCTTGGCGTGGGCTGGGACCAGCGCTGCCCCCATGGAGGGGGCCCACGCAGGAAAAGGCTCCTTGGTGTGTTTGCAGGGAGCAAATACCAGCCCTGGGAAGGCCCCAAAGGATAAAGTGCCTTTCAACACCCTAAAGAACACGCAGCATCACCCGTTACAGACAGCGTTAAACTCTAATGCAGACCTAGTACAGACAACAGCTGGTCACACAGTGCCATGGAGAGCATATATAAATAGAGACTAACAAAAATACTGTTTTGGTCTTTTTTTCTTTTTTTTTTTTTTCTTTTCCAGTAGGGTTGTGATTCATGAGAGCCCAGCCCAGGTGCCCCAGGGGTGGCGGGACCAGGAGCTGCCCCCTCGGGGGAGCCCGCACGAGCGGGCTCTTCCTAATTCAGCATTAGGTGTTCAGTGATTCGCTTCACTGTTCCAGTATTTTACGAGAGAGGAGAAAAAGAAATGACAACAAAAGGTACTGAGCAAGTATCGCTGTGCAAAGTTTGCTAAGGAACTCTTCTATTCTGTAAACCAAAATCTGCACTTTACGCTTCCAGCCGCCGCCCCCGGGGAGGTCGCGTGGGCCAGCCGGGCTCCTGCCGGGACCGAGGCCCCACGGGAGATGGGCTGGATGAAACCCCCACCCTGGCAAGGGCTGGCTCGGTGTCCCCCCACGCCCTCCCCTCCAGACCCAGCAGCAGGACCAGCCTCAGGGCAGGCACCTGCCCCCCTGGACCCACCATCAGGGTCTGGGGTGCTCCTCCAGAGCCAGAAGCACGAGGAGGGGCGGAGGGACACGAGGAGCGCAGGGCTCTATGAGATGAAAGGCTGAGGCTTTCCAGACGGGATCACCCTAAAGAATCATTTCCAGGTGTCTGGGGAGGGGAGGGGGCGGCTTGCTGGCCCTTCTGCAGGGATGTGTGCCAGCACACACCAGCCCCGTCCCCAGGGATGCTGTGATATGTAAGGTCACCTCTTACGGCTCAGCTGGGGATGGACCTGCCCCGAAAGCCAGGAGGGGAGAGAAGCTGCCAGGGAAGCCAGGAGGAGCTGGCTGAGCCCAGCACCGTCACTCTGCCCCTGGATGGAGCAGGGCAGGATGGGATGGATGCTCCAGGGGACACTGGCAGCGCAGACTGAGGCAGTGCCAGTGCTGATATGGCAGAAGCGAGCTCAGAGGTGATCTTATTCCCTTTTTTCAGTCGAGGAGAGGATAATCAGCTACCTAAGGTGATGCTCGGGGCTGGGAGAGGGATACGACAGTTTCCAAGCCCAGCAAACCTGGAGGGAAACGGGGATGGGGGAATAGAGACAGACCCTTCTACAAAGCTATAGGCAGGCTGCCCCACCACTTTTCCAGTTCTTACAGGGATTTACGGAGACCCACCTCCCACAGAACGCACCAACTCCACGGCAGGACGGAAGGGCAAGCCGGTCTGAAAATCCTGTTACAGAGAGGAGAAACAGAACCCAAAGGAAAAGAGGACAGAGGAAGGGAAGGAGAAGTTGGCAGCGGGAGGTACCCTAAAGTGCATTAATATTCCCAGAGGGTGGAGGCGTCGATGGTGTCGGCCGATGCCTTGAGGACCCCGGCGTGGTCCCCCTTCAGGTATTTGCCATTGATTTTGATGGCAACTTTGTTATAGTCGCAGAACTCAAAAAAGAAGTCCACGGGGGTGTCGCTGCTGCTGGTGACGGACGACTCGTTCCCCACCATCCAGTACTTCCCAGTGGTATCTGCAGGAGAGGGGACAAGGTGGCCTCGTGAGCCACCACGGGGACCCCCATGGCCGTCACCCCCCCATCCCACAGCCACCCCCGGGGACTCACCCTTGATGTTGTAGGCGCCGTCATTGAACTCCAGCTGGAAGACGTCGTAGGAGGAGCGGTTGGAGTCGAGGGTGCCGGTCACCTTCCGGCACCCGATGAAGCCGTGCTCGCCACGCAGGACGATGATGGGCCTGTTGATCAGCTTCATCACGAAATGCTCCGTCTCACCTGCACCGAGGGCAGAGGGGCTGTGAGAGCAGCCGGGGAGGAGCGGGGGGGACAGAGCCAGACCCCACGGCTGGCAGGCAGCAGTGAGGAGGAGGGGCTGTGCCCCCCCTCCCGCTTCTCACCCGCCCCGTGTACCCCCCATCTCACTTCACGTGAAACACTCACTAAGAAAAGTTATTGCCTGCATCCATGAGCACCACTCGGAAGGAGGGCCCGGCTCAGGGAGGGGAGACTTTTCTCATCCCCTGCCACCCCAGTGCAGGGTGGGGGTCTCCCAGAGGGTGTCTTACCCGCTGTCTCCATGGAGGCTGCCAGCTGCCCGTTCTTCTTTGCCGTCACGTACTTGCCGTTGGCAGCTTTCAGGGTGATGCGCTTGTCGCACCACTCGATGTCGAAGTAGCAGCTCGCGTTCCTGGGGGGCAGAGAGGGCGGTCAGCGGGGATGTGACGGGTGGGGACCCTGCCAGTGCCACCCCACTGGCTTGGAATGGGCCACAGCTGGATCAGGAGAGCCCGATTCGATCTGTTTTTGCAGGATGAACCATGTGGCGGTGGCCACCCTGCTGGGAGGCCCTTGGCCCGCAGGCAGGAGGCAGGCAGGCAGCCAAATGTGCTTTTGGGGTTTCCGCCTGGCTCTCAGGGCTGAACTGCAGGGAAAAGCGTTTCGACAGCCCCAGCCGGCCGGGAAGGATGACGTGACCCCAGGGACTTGCCGAGCATCGTGGGCGGCGAGCCCCAACCCATCCCTGGCTTTCTGGGGAACGCGCTGCCTCTGCTGGGAAGCGTTTTGGGGTGAGCACCCGGGCTGGAAAATCCCCCCTGGATTCCCCTGGGAGATGCAGAGGGTTCCCTGAAGCCCAGGCACAGCCCTGCTGGGGACAGGGGACTCACTTTGTGGAGGCAGTGGACTGGATGCCCCCGTTGGAGGTGAGGGTCCAGTACTTCCCAGTGTAGGTCCGGAAGGCGCATTTCTTGGTGTCCTTGTTGATCTCCAGCTGGTAGGTCTCCTGGTCACCCTCCTCGTCCTGGTTGGCCGAGAGATCCATCCCTATGGAGCAGAGGCAGATGGAGGTGGGGGTGCCAGGGAGAGGGGGGATCACAACCCATGTCCAGCAGGTCCGGGTGCAGGGCAGCCCAGGAAACCCAACTGAGAGGGGCTCCTGCTCCCTGGCTGAGCTTTGGTGACTCCCAGACCCCTCACACAGATCTCCCCTCTGGCATTCTGGGTTCAAACCCAGGTTTTCATTTGGCTGCTTGGTGTTACAGCTGAGCAGGGCTGAGCTGAGGCAGCCCTGAGCTTCCACTCCTGACTCTCCAGCTCCGTTATGATGAAGCAAAGACCAATGCAAATATTTCATATGGAAAAGGGACATAGTTTTTCCCAAAGGTGACAGCCAGGTTACTCGAACCATTAGCAGAGGCCACTGCAGCAGCCATGAATCCCAGCTCGTGGCGTGTTTAAGGACCGTGGCACCGTTTTTCATCCACAAATTGTCACAGCCCGCAGGGGCGCTGAGGTGTGCAGGGACAGGAGGCTTGGGAAAGCCCTGGGGCAGCCAAGCCTTTCCCTGACTCTCAAAAACCATCAGCACCAGCCTGTTCCCCAGCCAGGAAGACCCATCCCTGCACCAAAGGGGCCAGAGACAGCATTTCCTTGGCGAAGGTGGATGCAGCCAGTCCTGGGGCCACCACAGGGCCATGTGCACGTCCAACACAGGCACTGAGCCCGAGGAAACCTGCTTAGTCAGGCCTAGTGGGGCCAAATCTACTCCAGAGCTCTCCAGCTTGGTGGATTTCAGCCTAAAACCACTTTGGGGATGCGAGTCACGAGCCGGAGCCCGGAGCCAAGCCCAGAGGCCGAGCTGCCATGCCGGGTTTCAGGGAGGGAGCCGGGATGTGGAGCTCAGTTCTGCTGCTCCCTGCCTGCCCACAGCTGGGATGGGTGGGGAGAGGTCCAGTACCACCAGTGGGACGTGGGTCTGTAAGCTGTGAGAGGAGCCCAGGATTGGCACTTGAGTGGAACCAGGAGTTTTCCAGAGCAGAAGTCCCATCAGCCGCACCCACCTGGGGAGGGACCATCTCCCTCCAAACACCAGCCATGGAGGGGACACAGGTCCTGCAGACACAGCTCCCTGGGGCTCCCCACTGCCCACATGCATCTCCAATCGGGCATCCCCATCCAGGAGCCCAGGAGCAGCCTCTGCTTTGCATCTCGGTCTCCCACCTTTCCCAAAGGGATATCAGGCTTGTTCCCAGGGGCCATAATCTTATCCCCCATATCCAAACTGACCTATGGCTGCCACCCTGTTCACAGCGTCCCCTCTCCTGCCAGGCATCCTCCAGCACCTCCTGCAGCTCCTACCCCTGGCAGAGTGCAAGGCCAGGTTGGATGGGGTTTGGAGCAACCTGGTCTAGTGGAAGGTGCCCACGGCAGGGGGTTGGAACCAGATGATCTCTCCTGACGGACACAGAGCCCCCCTGGTGTTCTGGTGTTTTGCTCCCCAGGGTATTTGGGCAGCACAGGGGACAGTGGGAGCTGCATGGCCACCAGCCCCAGCCCCACTGGCCACACCCTTGGCTCATGTGGCTGTCCCACACTCGCTGCCTCCCAGAGCTGCTGGGGGCTGAGCCGGCGATTGTGGAAACATTTGGTTTTGATTTTGCATCCCGGCGTCAGGCAGCTCCAGCTCCAATCCACAGCCATAAAACCGAGAGAGGGGCTCTGCTGGGGCTCGTGGAGAGACTGGGCTGAGGGAGGGGACACTGGGGGATGCTGCCCCCAGTCATTCACCCCTGAACCCACCAAACCTGTGAGAGCTGTCCACGTGGTTTGGGAGAAGGAGAGGATGGTGATGTTTCCCACCGCTGCATGTTTTGGGGGAAAAACTCATTGATCTGCAGGGATCATGCTGGGGAGAGCCAGGGGGATGTTGTGTGCCACAGAGAAGGATCAGATGGGCTGGAGACAGGACAATGAATGCCAGGAGCCTCCAAACACCATCCCCTCTCCCCAGAGACCCCCCACCACAGAGCACAGTGCACCCACCACCTTACTCCCCCCACCACTCTTGTGCCATTCCCCACACTCGCTGCTGCATGGAGTTTTGGCTTTCCCTGTTTCCTGGATGGGCCTGGCAGCAGGAGGGTCTCCCACCACCCCCTCCCCAAAAGCAGTGTGGGGTTGGGTTACACCAGCTCAGCAGAAAGGAATGCAGCTACGGTTGGGGAAGGAGGAGGATTCGAAGAGCTGGAACTGAGACTGGAGCGGGAGAGAGTCGGGGGCTCAAAGCTGGGCGGGACGGGGGAAAGTGGAGGAAGCGCGGGCTGCAGGGAGGCAGATCCCACAGAGATGTCCCCGTGGTGGAGGACAGGCTGTCCCCCAGCCACCCCCCTGCTGTGGCAGCCCTGGGCTGTGGCAGGGAGCTGTGTCCGCTGCTCTCCCGCCGCGCCCGGCCCAGCCGCTCCCACTGCAATCATGGATTAATTAACGCTCCTGGTGAATTTACAGTCTGGAGCTGGCACCGCTCGCCATGACCTTGACGAAGCTGCTAATTACAGCTGGAGGCGGCAGTGGGGGCGAGCACGCGGCGGCTCTTGGGGAGGTACGCCTGCACTCCCCAAAAATTCCTGGCGTGGGATGTCCTCCGGCTCCGTCTGCAGTACGGGTTTGCTACAGGGACCTTGGGGAGGATGCAGAGGCTGGAGGTGGGAGGGCTCAGGCAGATGTCTCCCCAGGGCTTCCCAATCCCAAGTCCCTGGGCTCGAGGTCCTTGGAGAGACAGGGAAGGGCAATGGGGTGAGCCAGCACCGGGGCAGGAAAGGGCTCCCCAAGTCCTCGGCTGCCGAGGTTTCCAGATATTGCCAATCCTGTGGTTTAGAAGGATTGGTGCTGGAGCCCTCACTGCCCTCCAGCCTAGATGGATGTACACAGAGTTCAGAGCAGACACACCCCTTCCCATGGCTCCCAGAGATGTGCATTTCTCCACCTAAAGGAGCAGAGTTTGCTGTAGCTGTGCTGACCTCCACACCACGGGGGCTGCAGACCCAGTGTTGGGACATTTATGGCATGTAGAAAACTTTCTCCCTACACTCAACTCCCACAGAAGGTGTCCTATGAGCCATCCTGGGATGCCAGTGAGACTCAGTGGGATGTACTCCATGGAGAGGAGCACCTTTCCCATCCTCCAACTCCCTTTTTAAAAACCCCACAGTTATGTCTGAAAAAAACCAAGCTCAGCTCCCCACAGGGAGCACTGGCAGGATCCCACAGAGCCCCCCAGTCCCTTAGGACAGCAGGGCAGGATTTCAGGTCCTCATGTCCCAGCAGTCTGGGTTGGGATGCTGCACCCAGTGCTGCTGGCACAGGTCTGGTCTGGGCTCCCTGTGGGGCTCTGGCACCCTCCACCCCACACGTGCTCCCAGACTCATCCTGCCCCATCCCTGCCCTTGGGCTGGGCTTACACTGCACCCCTACAGAAATCCAAACAGGTTTTTGTCTAAAAGCAACAGCCTGGAGCTATGGCATTGGCAGCTCCCCTGCTGGGGGTGCAGCCCTGCAAGGGGGTCACGGGTGGGGGTGAAACACGAATTTCCTGAATAACCCACCCCTCCTTCCCTGTGGATTTCCTGTGGCTTTGTGGTATCCCCCAAGTGTCAACAGGCCACTCAGCATCTCCTGATGGAAATGTGCATCTGTGCCTGCATGTCCCCTGCCCTGGAGCCACATCTCCCTGCCTTTCATGGAGATGAACTTGGGGGGAGGGGGGGGGAACTGGCCCACCTCGTGCTGGGAGGGCTCCTGGCCCTGGAGCAGAGCTCCCCATCGCCAGCACGGCGTGCCCAGGCGTGCTCCCATCTCCGCTCTGCTCGCTCGACCCCCTCCCCAGACCCCATTTTCCTGGAATTCCTCGCTCCTGAGCCAGCCCACCCTCTCCCCCATGCGGGTGGGGGGCAGGGGCACACCTCGGCGGGGCGGGGGGCTGGCAGGGTCCCAGCAGGAGGACGCCAGGGCTCTGCCCCCGGGGACCCTCACGCCCACAAAGGGCCCTTTGTTGCCGCAGCTGGGCTAGAAAGGAGCCATTGAGCAGGGAGGAGGCTGCCGGCTCTGCTCCGTCGGAGGGGCAATGGGGAGATGGGGCTTTCAGGGATCCCATCCTTCCGGGGCTAGAGGCAGGAAAAATGTGCCAGGGACACCCCCAGCGCCAGGGCAGAGGCAGGGCTGGCACCCACCCCTTCCTCCCCCAGGATTGTTTGTGTGGCGGTCCCCAGTGCCCTGTGTGCAGGGCATGGTGACACCAGCCATCCCCAGGACAGGGAGGAGACTCCCAGCCAGGCGCTGACTTGGCACCGGTGGGACAGCGCTGTCCCAAAGCTGGATCCCAGCCAAGGGAGCCACAGAAGCCCCATGGCTCCATCCCTGCTGCTCCCATGAGGCGCGGGAAGGAGAGGGGGGACAGTGCCGTCCCCACTCCCTCCCTGACTCCATGCAGGAACAAGAAGCCTTCTCCCACGAGGCTGTGCCGAGCTGCAGTCGCTCCCTGCCCGCATCCCACATCCCACCTCCCCCATCCCCGGTGGCCATGGGCGCATCTGCCAACAGCACGGTGCTTATCAGCTCGGCGGGGGAAAGGGCTGTCTGGAACCGCTTCCTCCGACGGCTGATTTGGGGCTGCCTTCTTGGTAACCTTGGGACAAGGCACTTTCCCAAAGGGAGGAGGGAGGGTGAGCCCCAGAAAGCGGCAGCTCCCAGCCCTTCGCTGCCATCGGGAAGGATAAACCGGGTGGAAACGGCTTCTCTGGCCAAAACGGACTCGAGCGAGGATGTGCAGCTCCAGCTCAGCTCTTCCCGCTGTATTTTGCTTGGAAAGGGGCCGGGCACAGCCCAGAGCCCCCTGTTGCTGGGGAGATTTGTGCTCCCCCCCTCACTCCTTCCTGCTCCCCCCATCCCTTCCAAACCACACAAAGCCGGCGGGTCGGGAGCAGCATTCCCACCCGCTCCATGGGGCCCCCCACCACCACGGGGTCCCCGTCCCTCACGTCTCCCCCCACATCTGGTTTCCCCATCTCTGGTGACAAAGGGCTGCAGCCGCCCTTCCCCCACAGCGCTGCGGCAGCCTCCCGCCATCCTCCCGCCACCGCCATCCTCCTCCTCCTCTTCCCCAAATCCCTGTGCCTGGGAAAACAATCCCCACCGCTTGTCTTGGTGGATTTCAGGACTTATTTTTAAGGGGTTGCTTTGCTGCTCGGGACTTGCCCTCGGACAGGAGAACGGCAGGGAGCTCCCGCGCGGAGCTGCCCAGGCACGGACCAGGGTTCAGCTGCAACCCTGAAATATTACACACACACAGGGGAAAAAAGAAAAAATCCCCCGCTGTTCCTCCAGGCTTTGCTGCAGCGAGACATGCTCGCACCCATCCCGCGCCCGGCGTGCGCCGGCCTGACCTGGCGCGCCGGGGATGTGCCCTGGGGGTCCCACAGTCCCGCACCCCCCGGCAGCGCCGAGAGGGACCCCCCCGTCCCCCAGAACGGACCCCTGGGCGGGTGGGATGCTCGGTGGGCACTCAGGGGGGGCAGGTGGCCATGTGGCACCACTCGAGGCGGGTGGCCCGGTGGCCTCTCGGGCGAGCGGAGGGGACGGGGACGGGCGGTGCAGCGGGAGTGGGAGGGGGGAATGGCTGCCTTTGTGCGGGTGGATGCAGGATGCGGGAGTTTTGTCAAAGCCCTTTATGTAACGCTGCCGTCCCAGCCCCCCACATCCACGGGGAACTCCAGCCCCTCGCGCAGCCCCACGGAGGACCCGCAGCCTTCCCAGGGCCCCGCTCCGCAGGGAACACGGCTCAGCGATGCTCCGGGAAGGGGGAGGTTGGCGGAGGCTTTGTTGGGCGAACAATGAGCTCCATAGGAAGGAAGGCGACGGATACAGCCCTGCCTCCTTCACGGCGAGGGAAGACCCCGTCCACCCCCTCCCAGTCCCCTTCCCTGTCCACCCCCGCACCCCAAGGCAGGTCCCTCGCCATCCCTCCCCCCTAGGGCACCCTGCGGAGGAGATGCTGCAGGGATGGGGGTGCTGGAGGGATGGGGGCCCCCAGGCAGGCGACGCTGGAGGGATGGATGCAGGAGGGGGAAGGGAAAGGGATGTGGGAGGGGTGCGGGGGGATCAGGATGGGAGATTGGGGGAGGGACGGCGGGCAGCCATGCTGAGGGGTGCAGGGGGGTGCCCCGGGGAGATGGGGGCTTCAGGGGAGGGGTGTGAGAAGGAGTCTGAGCGGGGGATGGTCCTATGGAGATTCGGAGCGATGCAAAGGGGCACCCTGTGGGGTGGCTGCTGCAGGAAGGCAGGGGATGCTGGGGGGCGCGGGGGGCTGCCGGGGGGACAGTGCTGCGTGGGGGGGGCCTCTCCGAGGTGGCGATTCTGAGGTGTTGCAAGGGAGGTGATGCCGGGGGGATGAAGAGGATGCTCGGGGCAGGCGGTGCCCGACGGATGCCGATGTCTGAGGGATGCAGCGGGCTGCTGGGGGCGGGCGATGCCCGAGGAAAGCCGATACCCGAGGGGTTCAGGGGCGCACGGCGACACCCCAGGGACTCCGGGACGGCCGAGTTGTCCCGTTCCCCCCACCCCTAGCCCCCGTCCGTCCCCTCGTACCTTGCCGGGTGGAGACATTCCTATCGTTGCCGGCTCGCAGCACGACCTGCGGGCAGCTCTGCTCCAGGGCGAAGAGCTCGTCCTTGCCCACCTTGGCGCTCTTGCCCGCCTTGAGGGTGCCGCTGGGCCCCGAGGGGGCCAGGTAGCGGCCCTCCCCGTCGCGAAAGGCCACCTTCCCGCAGCGGAACTCCAGCGTGAAGGCGGTGCCGGGCTCGGCGGCGGGGACCAGGCGGCCGTCGCTGCGGAGCAGGCGGTGGTCGCAGCTCTGCAGGCTGTACCGCTGGTCCACGAACAGGAGGGTGATCAGGGCATCCACGCCCCACGGCACGTCGCGGTCCACGGCCAGCTCGTCGCGGCGGGGCCCCAGGTGCGCGTAGCGCTTGCGGGCCAGGCTGTAGAGGTTGGCCTGGGGGTGCATGGCCAGGTGGACGCTCCACTTCTCGGCGGCCGAGACGGCGGGGGCGAAGCAGGAGAGGCGATCCTCGGTGCCGCCGAAGAAGCGGCGGTGGGGCTCGGACTGCAGCGACCACCGCCCGTCGCCGTGGGCCACCACTAGGAACCGGCAGTCGGGGCCCGGCTCTTCGCTGTCGCAGCTCACCCGCCCGTCCTTGTCGGCCGCCAGGTACCGGCCCAGGTGGCTCTTGAGCAGGACTGCGCTGGAGTCCTCCCCGTCCTGCTCCAGCGTCCAGATCTGCTTCTTCTTCATGCTGGCGGCCGAGGCGTTCACCTTGAACCCGAACGCCTCCGCCGTCAGGTACCGGTTGCTGCAGTTGATCAGCCCGAACTGGATCTGCACCGGCTCCGCCGTCCCGTTCGCCGTCATCCTGTCCCGCCGCCGACCGACCGACACGGACCGACCGACCGACACCGAGCGCCGCTGCCGCCGCGCCCGCCCCGACGCCGACGCCTTTATAGCGCGGCCGCCGCGGTACCGCCCCCCCCGAGCCCCCCCGTCCGCCGGGGCCGCCTCTCGCCGCGACCCCCGCCCGCCCCCGCCCGCCTCCCGCATCTCCACGGGGCCCCGCGGCAGGCAGGACCCCGCCGGGCGCGGTGAGAGCCCCCTCGAATCGCAGGACATCATTCAATCGCGGGACTCCACTGCATGGAGAGACCCTTCCCTGCATTGCAAAAGCCCTCTGAATTGCAAGACCCCCTCCCCGCCACTGCAAGATCCCCACTGCGTGGCGAGCCCCCTCCCTGCATTTCAGGACCCCCACGCACTGTGCAAGTCCCCTCTGCATGGCAAGAGTCCCTCTGGATTTCAGGGCCACCTCCCCCATTGAAGGATGCCCACTGCATGGCAAGACCCCTCCCTGCATTACAAAAGCCCCCATGAATTGCAGGATCCCCCCCACACTGCAAGACCTTCAGTGTATAACAAGATTCCTCCACGCATTTCAGGAACCTCCTTGAACTGCAGGACACCCTCCCAACGCCGGTCCCCACTGCATGGCAAGACCCCTCCCTAATTTCAGGATCCACACACAGAGCAAGCTCCCACTTCACTGCAAGACCTCTCCAGGAACAGTGAGAGCCCCCTTGAACTGCAGGACCCCCAAACACACTTTGCAAGACCTCCCCACCCGTCCTTGCATAGAAAAAGATCTCCCTTGAATTGCAGGCCCTCCCCACACTGCAAGAACTTCTATGCACTGCTGGCCCTCCCTGCACCCCTCTGTCCCTCCTGAGCTGTTGGCCATGACAGGGGGACATGGGACAGATGTGGAGAAGGGTGACAGATGCCGTGGCCTCCTGCCATCTCTGAGCCATCCCAGCACCCTGTGCCAGGCACCAGCGAGGCTGGAGCATCCAGGCCCTGTGGAACTGAATTCCCACAGCAAATCCGTGAGAAAAACAGGGATGCTCCTTCACGAGAGGGCATTTGGAGGCCATTTCTCGGGGGCAGGTGGGCAGTGTTGCCATGCATGTACAGCAGGACGTGGCACGTACAGCAGGACTGACCCCGAGATGGGAAGGGTCCAGCCTGGAGAGAGCCACCTGTGCTGCTCAGGGGTGCTGCCCACTGCTCCTTGGGGACAGGGACACTTCTCGTGCCTACAGTGTGGACACAAACACCCATAAGCAGGAGCAGGGCTGCTGTGGCAGGTCTGAAGCTGGCTCAAGCACAGCCCTGTGCTTGCAGGGGGGGAGCTGGCTGGGGGGAATGTGCAGAACCAGAAAATTGGAGAAAGAGGGATGATGGGAGGCACAGATGGGATGGTTTTCAGCTGGATCAGGGAGCTGAACTGCCTGCCCCAGCTGAAGCAGGACAAGAGAAGATGCGAGCGAGCGTGGGTGCGGGTGGGAGGGGGCAGTGTGTGCTCAGGGCTGGCATGAAGAATTCCCCTGGGCTCATCCAATCCAGGCAGGATGGCATCCTGTCCCCACCTCCCGAGGCCCTTCAGGATCCACTGGTTCTGCACTGGCCATACTGGTTACAGCCACTGCTCCACCCCCAGGCAGCACCACATCCACCCGCCCCTGCCCGGGGGTCACTGGCACAACCCCTCCAGGGCAAACCTGCCAGCCTGGGATGGCGTTTGTTTTCCTGGATGCCTCAGCCAGACCTGCTCTGTGCTCATCCTCGCTGCCCAGCCCTGCAAATCCAGACAGACCATTTCCAACCCACAGCCTCTTGTCTGGGTTAGAAACAGGTCCCCCCTGCCAGCTCCAGGGAGGCAGATCCATGTTTGTCCCACAACCCATGTTTTCTGCTCTGGCCCAAAGCATTAGGGCCTGGCCATGAGGCCGAGCAGCTGCCCAGACCCACAGCTGCCGGGCTCTGCCTTCCACAGATGGTGGCGAGGCCGGGAAAGAAAAAGCTTTTCTCCTCAGCAAAAAAAAGTAGCAATTATGCAGGGGAAAAAAAACCCCCAACATCCTGTATTCTCCCCACTGCCCAGCAGTGTGGCATGGATGGGTGACAATGGTGGATGGTGGCACTGGTGGGTGGTGGCACTGCCTGGCTCGGCAGATCCTGCCCCTTCAGAGCAAGCAGCCTGCCTGCACCCACCCTGCCTGCACCCACCCTGCCTGCACCCTCTGCTCTGGGGGAGGTGGGGGAGCCCCAAACACTGTCTGAGGCCTCCCCACATGTCACTGTGGTGGCAAAGGGTGACCAGTCCCCTCTGACTTGGGGGTGCAGCAGCCAAAACCTGTCTCCCGAGTGCATCCGTGCGTGCCAGTGCGCTGGAGCGGCAGGAAAGGCGCTGGGTCTCCCTCTATATATTGCATTTCCTGTCATCTTTGCAAGCTGCCGTGACTAAACGTGTCTGAGGTCACCCCCCACAGCCTTCCCACTGCTGCTCCTGCAGGAGGCCCAACCCCTGGCACACGGCATCCATGACAAGGGCATTCCGGAGCGCGGCCGTGTCCCCTCGGAGGGGAGCGTGACTCACCCGCTGGGACTTCAAACACACCACAGCTCCAAAAGGGAAAAGCCAAGAGAAAAGGAGCCCCGGTCATGGAGTGACCCCTGTCTTGCCTGCCTCAGGCATGGAAACGCCCTCAGATTTTCATGCTTGCCTGGACACTTTTTGTGGCAGCCCAACTTCATCTGCAAGCAGTGCCGGGGTTTTCAGTCAGGCTCATGAAATTGGGATGGAAGGCAGAGCCTGGCGCTGCGGGGAGGGTGGGATGCAGGGCACGCTGTGTCACAGGGTGCCCAAAGCCAGTGCCACTGGGTCACCCCTCAGAGCACGGCTCTCCTCTGGCTTCAAGGCACATCTCAGCCACCAGCCTGACCTGAGCACTCCTTGTCCTAAACAGAGCAATTCTGGAGGCTCACTGCGAGGGGGCTGCTGGTAGGTTTTCACCCCCAGCCACCTGATTCTCCCAGGATCCCCACATGCTGCCAATCCCATCTCGGTGTCCATGGCACGTGTGGCCAGATGTCCCAAGGGTGTCCAGGTCCCTGATGTGTCCCTTGCTGCTGCTGGGGGCCATGGGGACACCCCGAGGTGCCTGGCTGCCCCGGCCTCACTGCCATATGCCACCAGGCAGCCCAGCAGAGGTTCTCCGAGGGCTCTCCCGACAGTTGGCAGGCGCCCCGGCCTCATTAAAATTGTATTAGGCTGTGTTTAAAAAAAAACCCAGCAGCACCAGGGGAAACAAAGAGCGGCCCTAAGAGAGGGGCTCCGAGAGTCAGATCGCGCTTCCGGGGGTGTTTTCCCATGGGATGCTGCCCCAAGGGGGTTTGCTGAGCCCCATGGCCCAGGAAAGCGAGGGAGAGCGGTGGAGTATCACCGGGGCTCAGCCATGTTCCCACGTCTCGTGGCCATCAGGAGTGGACGTGGCACTTGCTCAGCTCTATTAGCTGGATTTATCCCGTTAGCCTGATTTGACTGCACCCGAAGCACAGGAATGGCAAGGCTGGAAGTGCCTTGTTTCGAGCAGTTTGGGTGTTGGGCACAGGCAAATGAAGGAAGGAAGTGGATGAGAGCACACATAAGGTCTGCGTTGGGACTTGGTCCCTCTTTTCCTGCCCCAGCTCGTTTTCTGGTGTTTTCTAGAGTGGTTTTTACATTATCAGAAGCTAAAGTGAAAACCTGCCCCTTCCTCTGTCTCCCCCAAGGACCCTACAGAGGTGGGACAGAGGCCAGAGCCTGGTTCATCCAGCAGAAGAAGGAATTTTATTAGGAAAGCTCAAAAGACCTTTTGTGTAGTGATGATTAACCTCTGCAGCAGGGACAATGCTCTTTGTCCTGGACCCAGAGCCCTGCCTGGTCCCCATTGGGGGGCTCTCATGGGGTACGAGGCTCCTGAAAACCCATGGAAGTGTCCAGGAGCAGGACACAAGAGACACAGGACATTTTGCAGGACAAAATATCAGGCGGCAGGGGATGTTTTCCAGCCTTTCAATAGAAGATTTAAAAAAAAAAAAAAAAAAAGGCAGGAAAAAAATTAAAATCAGGACGTGTCCATCCTTTGCTGCCCGTTTTGCCAGCGGAGGGTGTGAGAGCCCTGGGGACTTTTGCAGCCAGGAAGGCTCCAGTGGCAGCCCCACTTTTTAATTCCCCGCCGCAGCGCGGAGTCAGCACAGAGGAGTTTGCAGGGAAGAAGAAAGTGTGTTATCAGCATCTGCCCACGCAGCTCCAAAATAACCCGGCCCAGGCAGCGCCGGGCGGAGCAGGTGACTCAGCGTGCGACAGCAGCTCCTTTCTGCTCTGATTTCCTCGATCCCTCGTGCCCAGGTCCATGTTTCCCACTGCAGTTCATGCACTGTGTCTGATGCCACTCCTGCCCGTGGCCTCATCCAGGGCTGCCAGAGTGTTTAGTGGGCAGAAGAAGGGAGGGCAGGGAGGATTTAGGCATTCACTGCCTGAATTGCCAGGGCATGGCTGCTCTCTCCAGACCCACAGCACCCCAAAGCTGATCCGAGAGGGGCTGGGATGGTGAACCCCATCACTGGTGGGGCACTGCTGTGACCCAACACAACCCATCACCTTGGGATAGAGCACGGTGCATCCCAAAGAGAACATAAAAGGGATGGAGAAGCCTTGGAGCAGCTGGAAATGAGTCAGAGGGCAGCAGGGGGGAGGTCAGGAACAGAGGACAAGCACGCTGAGATGAAGGCACTGAGGATGGGGGACGAGGAGGAGGTGACAGCTCATGTTTTTGTGGTTGCCATCTCCCCATCTTCTCGCTGCAGGATTTGGAGTGGACATGGACACCCTTTGCAGGATGCTGGTGCAGGGAACTGGTGCCAAGACGCCCCATCCCCTCAGGGGCTGTACCATGAGTGCACAATTCCCCTCTGGTGGGGTGAGGGAGCTCAGGCTCAGCCTGGAGAGAAACCAAGACCAAGCCCCAGCAGGATCAGGGGGTTCCCCAGACACCCCCGGAGCAGGGGGGGAATCTCTTCAAGGATGAGGTAGCGATAATAGGAGCAGTAATA